GGGGGGGCACATGGCAGGGACACACACACACACACATGAATGGGGGGTGACACACGTGTCCCGGCACGGCGGGACCCCCGACACACACGTGACGTCCTGGGGACAGGACACGGGGACACGCCTGTGCACACCCCCCCCGCCAGCCCGGGAGGGTCCCGGGGGGCTCTGGAAGGAGGAGCAGGAAGAGCAGCAGAGTCCGGGGCAGGGGGACCCCGGGGGAGGCTGGATTGGGGGGGTCCCCGCGGTGCGAGCCCCCCCTGCCAGCACTGGGGGGAGTGTCCGTGGGGGGCAGCGGCCGGAGCCCCCCGGCAGGGCAGGGCCCAGGGGTGGGGGCTCCGGGGGTCCCTTGGCTCCAGAAGTCCCATGTCCCCACGGCTCCGGGGGTCCCAGCTCCCGGGATAGGGGAGTTCCATGTCCCAGGGTGTGGGGGTCCCACATTCCAGGGTCGGGGGTCTCAGGGCTCTGGATGTCCCACGTCCTGGGCGTTGGGGGTCCCACATGCTGGGGTCAGGGGTCCTGTGGCTCCATGGATCCCACATGCCAGGGTCCGGGACTTCCAGGGGTCCCAGGTCCCAGGGTGTGGGGGTCTGAGGACTGTGGAGGTCCCACGTTCCAGGGCCAGGGGTCCCAGGGCTCCAGGGTTCCGGGGGTCCCACGTTCCAGGGTCAGGGATCCTGTGACTCCAGGGGTCCCAGGCCATGGTGTCCAGGGGTGCCGGCTCTGGGGGTCCCACATTCCGGAATCTGGGGGTCCCGTGGCTCCGGGGGTCCCACGTCCTGGGCTTTGGGGGTCTCATGTGCCGGGGCCCGAGGACTCCAGGGGTCCCAGGTCCTGGGGTCCGAGGGCTCCGGGGGTGCCACTCTCCGGGGTCGGGGGTCCCGTGGCTCCGGGGTCCCGCCGTGCCCCGGCGCTCCCATTAGCTGCCGGGGTCGGAGCAATGTCTCTGGAGCGGGGGGGTCCCCGGGGGGGTCCCCGCGGGGGGGGGCAGCGCCCCGGGCAGCGAACGGCGCCGCGGGGGGGGCGGCTCCAGCAGCAGCACCACGTCGGGGGGGTCCGGGGCACGCGGGGGGTGCGGGACCTGCCGGAACCGGGGAGGAGGAGAGTCGGGGGGGGGATCGATCGGGGGACCCACACCCGGCACCGGGAACTCGGGATATCCCCCCCCCCACCCAGCACCGGGACCCCCAGTGGGTGACCCCAACTCACGGAAGGGTTGGAGAACATGGTGATGGGCACGGGAGGGGGTCTGCCCCAAATCTGGGGGACTTGGGGTGGGGTCCCCACTCGGCACCAGGGATTTAGGGCGTCCCCCCAACCCAGCACAGGGCCCACCCGCAGCAGTGGGGAACGGAGTGGTGGGGCACGGGAGGGGGTACCCCCAAATCTGTGGGGGCTCAGGGGTGACCCCAACCCACAGAGGGGCTGGGTAACAGGGTGATGGTCCCCAAAATGGGGTACACCCCAAACCTGGGGGCTCGGGTGTGACCCCAACCCACAGTGGACTGCAAGAGAAGGTGATGCCCCCAAACCAGGTGCACCCCAAACCTGGGGGGCTCAGGTGTGACCCCAACCCACAGAGACCGTGACAGTGGGATGCCCCCCAAAGCAGGTGCCCCCCAAGGCCGGGGTCCCTCACCTGAGCGAGCGGCCGGAGGGGGGTGATGGGCAGGGGGGGCTGCAGCGGCCCCGGGGGGGGCTGGTGGGGGGAGGTCACGGTGCTGTAGGCGGGGGGCACCAACACCTGGCGCTGCAGCAGGTGCACGATGGACGAGATGTCCGTGCTCAGCCTGGATTCCAGCCTGGAATGGCCATGGGGGAGCGTGGCCAGGCCGGGATGAGACGTGGGACCCCCAACCCCATCCCTCCCCAAGCCCCCCAGGATCCCCAGACCTGCCCAGCACCTGCCCCTGCACCCCTGGAGGGGGGGCACCCTCCACTCCACCAGGTGGTTTAGGCACCTCAGGATGGGGTGGGGATCCCCCATTCCCCCCCTCCTCACTCAGGGCTCTACAGACCCCCCAAAACTCCAGCACCCCCAACCCCATCCCTCCTCCAGCCCCCCTGGACCCGCAGCACCTCCCCCTGCACCCCTGTACCCCCTCAAGGTGTGTCAGAGGGCTCAGGTTGGAGTGGGGGTCCCTCATCCCTCCCCTCGCACTCAGGGTTCCCCAGACCCCTTTGGGGACGGTCGGGGGACTCCCATGGGGTCTCACTGCCCTAAAACCCCCCTCGGGTCACACCTGAACCCCCCAAAATTACCTGTTGAGCTGTTTTTGGAGCAGATCCAAGCGGGATTCCAGGTCGGAGCGCTGGCGGCGGGTCAAGGACGGGGTGGGATTTGGGGGGGCCCCGTGGGAACAACGGGGGAGCTCCTGGTACTGGCGGGCCCGGGTGTCACCCCAAAAACTGAAGATGTTGGAGACCCCCGAGAAGGCGCCTGGAAAAGGTGTGTGGGGGGTGGGTTTGGGGGGTGAATGGGGTGGGACGCTTAAGGGGGACTGGGAGAAGGATGGGGAGAGGGTGCTGGGGCTTTTAGGGGGGGCTGTAGAGCCTTAAACAGGGAGAGGAGGATTGCCTCCCTCTCTGCACCCTGAGCCCCCCCATGCCCTCCTGAGGGGGTGCAGGGGCAGGTGCTGGGGGAGGGCGGGTTTGGGATTTTGGGGAGTGTCTGTAGAACCCCGAGTGAGGAGGGGAGGAACGCGGGACCCCCCACCCGCTGGATGGGATGGGGGCGCCGGGGTTTGTGTGGAGTCTGCAGGACCCCGAGCAGGGAGGGGAGGAAGGGGGGACCCTCCACCCCACCCCGAGCCCCCCGACGCACCTGAGAGGGGGTTGCACATGTCGCTGCCCTCGCGCTCCTCGGGCTCGGGGGGGGCCGGGGGGGCACTGCGGAAGGGGGACAGCGCGGTGGCCCCCGGGGGGGGCGCGGGGGGCTCCTCCTCATCGCTGGAGCCGCAGCTGGAGGGGCTGGGGGGGTCCCACTCGGCCGGGCCTCGGGGGGCGCCGGGGGCCTGACCCCCCCCATTGCCCTCCCGCAGCGCCCGGGGCTTCTCGGGGCTGGGGGCGTCTGCGGGGGACAGGCGGGGTCAGGGCCGGGGTCCCGGTGACCCTGGGGTCACCCCTGGGGTCACCCCCGGGGTCCCGGCGCCCGCCCGGCCCCCCCGACCCCCCCACCTTTCTCGGGGCGCCGGCGGAAGGACAGTTTGCGGCGCCGGAGCCGGGAGAAGCCGCCGTCCAGCTCGTCACTGCCCGGGGAGCCGGGGATCATGTTGGTCTGCGGGGACAACGGGGCACAGTCGGGGGGCTGCGAGACCCCCCCGCTTTGTCAGGAGCCCCCCAGCTTGCTCAGGACCCCCCAGGGGTTGCTCGGAGTCCTCAGGCTTGCTCAGGACCCCCAGATCACTGGAGATCCCCCACATTGCTCAGCCCCCTCCAACTTGCTCAGGACCCCCTCCCCCCACTTGCTCAGGACCTCCTGGTTTGCTCAGGACCCCCACCACCTTTCTTGCAGCCCCCCCTCTTTGTTCAGGACCCCCCAACTTTCTCAGGAACCCCCAGTTTACTCGGACACTCCAGCCGGCTCAGGACCCCATAACTTGCTCAGGACCCCCCCGCCTGCCCCCCCCGGGTCCCCCCTCACGTCGCGCAGGTTGAAGGTGATCTCGAGGGTGCCCCAGAAGCGGTCGGAGAACTCGGGGTACATGTCGAGCACCTCGAGCAGGTCCTCGCGCAGGATCTTGTGCAGGTCGCAGTAGGTCAGTGCCCGCACGTCCGCCCGAGACTTCCCCGGGCGCGCGTGGAGGTGCAGCGGCTCCCCGAACGTGTCGTTCTTACCTGGGGGCGGGGGGAGATCCCGGGAAGTCACGGGGGGGGGTTCCGCGGGGCTGGGGGGGTCCCGGGGGCTCTGGGGTGCTCGGACTGTCCCAGCCGCACACGTGGCTCCCCAAAGGGGTTTGTGCCTGACGGGGCACCCCGGGAAAGGGGGAGGTCTCTGGGGGGTCCCGAGAAGGGCGGGGGTGACTCTGGGGTCCCCGAGAAGGGGGGGTCACTGGAGGAGCACCTAGTGGGTGCTGGGGGGGCATCCCAGGGGCTCAGGGGTGCAGCAGGTCCCGGCACTGCCCCGGCTGTGCAGGTGCAGCAGCTCCCAGAGCTGTTGGTCTTACCTGGGGGGGGGGCAGGAGGGGCGCTGGGGGGGCCCCCGAGAGGGGGGACACCCTGGGAGGTGGAGGGTCACCCCAGGACAGTGGGGGTTCACCAGGACAAGCAGGGTCAACATGGGTTGCCCCCAGCACTGTGGGTCACCCGGGGGGCACTGGGGTTGTGTCCAGCACTGGGGGGTCACTGGGGCTGTACCCCGGGCTGGGGGGACCCCAGGAGGTGAGGGGTTATCTCAGAGGTACTGGGGGGTCCCCAGGAGGCGGGAGGTCACCCTGGGGTGCCTCCAGCACAGGGGGTCCCTGGGAGCCTAGGTGTCACCA